GACGACAAGTGGCTCCTGGCCCCGTCTCTATCACCCGCTCCCCCTCCTGCCGTTCAGGAAATTCCCTTTCAGAATAATGTCACTTAAAAACTTGTAAAGAACCAAGGGCTACCTCTCAGAAGCGCCCCCAACTCCAAATAAATAAATAAAAAAGGTGGGTGGGGGGAGTGGGACTCTATCTGACTAAAGGAAGTAAAATTAGGTCTACCAGTGAATATGTGAGAACAGTCCTCCAAGCAGGAAGGGAGGAAAGATTCAAAATGACCCCGAGAAGGGCAGTGTGCCAGTCAGGGAGCCCAAAGCCGTCTGCTGAGGGCAGCACAGGCTGACGGGGGATGCACGTCCTGCGGGCGGGCCGCGGGGGCTCTCTGGGGAGCTGCGAGGGACAAGCGGGGGCTCGAGGGCCCACTAGGCGCTGGGCACGCAGGCCTCTACCAAAACCCAACTGTCCGCAACAGGGTCCCTGTCAGTCCAGTGGTCTACCAGCATGGTGAGCTTACCTTCAATTAAATAACAAAAAAATTAATTAAAAAAACAACAACAACAACAAAATAAACAGAACAAAACAGAAAACCACAAGCCAAAAAAAAAAAAAGAAAAAAGAAAAGAAAAAGAAAAAGAACGGAAATGATAGGTTCTCAAAACCAACCCTCTGAGCAAGCCCCTGCCTCCGTGCGTCTCTACCTGATGGGAGCCAGTCCAGCCTCCTCCTGAGGAAGAAGAGCTCAAGGCCCAGGCAGGGAAGGGTGGCTCTCCCTGACGGGTGGACACCCTCCCGTCCCCCGGCGGCAGCCGTCTGCGAACCCACTCTCCCCTGTCTCCCAACATGACTGGCTGACTCCTCTTAGAAGAGTCTGTGTGTCCCAAGTTCATTATCATACTTATTACAACTCCTCATTCTGCAAAGGTCTCCTCCCCACCCTTTCCATGGTTCCTCACTCCGTCCACCCTAGACAGCTCTCCCAATCTCCTTCCACGGGCAACAAAGTCTTCTGTTTGCAAACTGAGGAAAATGCTCTTTGAAAAAAGACCCCTGGGTGCAGGATCTAAGCTGTCACAATTTAGAAATGCTACAGAACCAAGCGCCAACAATTGTTTATCCAGGACCATTACAAATCAAAAGAACGACCCAATGAAAAGTAGTTCTTATGAAGCCCCCCCAACCCCTCCAGGCCCCCTGGGGTGAGGGTACAGGCACCTACTTATGATGCTGCCTGCCCAGAAACGGGGGGGAACCCCTCAACATTTCTTTTGGGAAAAAAACAGGATTTCTCCTTTAGAAAAGTATCAGTAGAAGGACTTAACAAAGTGGCCGGACCAATGGTAATGCAAGGTTATGCTCAGATAAGCAGCTACGTGATCTTATATTACAGCACAAAATCAAAACAAGACAATGCAAAAAGAAAAAGTAACTTGGCTCCACATAATCACCTATCATGTTTACCTTATGCGATATATTGGTATTTACTGACTTTAAGCTTCTTGAATTTGGGAACAAATAATACACAGGTCGGATAAATGTATTGACTTACTACCATCTTTATAAAAATCGAATATACACACAAACACATCAACAGTTATGGAACTGTATCCATGTAACTCTGGTAAGACAACACAAAAGAACTAACAAAGAGCTAAGATTGTTGCTGAATTGAAAGCATTTCCAATAACATTTTAATTTTAAAAGGTCCGTATTTACATAGTATGTTAAATGCTTCTGCATCTCATTTTAAATGCATGATAAATAAAGAACAAAGATAATGGTTGCAACAGATCTTCCAAGAGGGTTCAACTGATGGTGGTCTGGTTTCCCTGCGGAAAGCGCACCGACCATGGCAATAACGTTCCTTTCTAATTCTGCTTCTTTCCTTTTCCACAGTCCCCTTCAAGGAAGCTAAGCCTCTGCTCCCCGGCCGGGGCAGGGGCACCGCCGGGGGCCATGCCCAATGGCTGGGCGCGCGGAGGCGGCGGCACTGAGCCTTCTAACCCCCTGGCCCAAGGCTTTCAAGAACGTAACAAGAGAAAGCTTCCGTGTGCGCAGACAGTTACGGACACACACGTCCTGGACACCCGTGTCCTACTAGACAATGCCAGAAGCAGACCTGAAAGTAGCCACAGGTCTGTCTTCAACAGCGGTGCCCACGTAGGACTGATTAGTTTATCGGCACTAACTAGAAAAGTGTGTGTTTCTGTGCCTACCTCCCAGACACAACGTGCAGCTTTTTGGTGTCAAGGCCACAGCACACTCAGACTATCCCATTTTAGGCATCAGTTGGTCCTCGGTGATAAAGGAAGTCCATCAACTGAAAGCCTGCCCACTGCCCCGCATGGGGAAGTGGTCTGAGCTCTCGCAAGGAGAGCTTCCAGGCTGCCAAGCTCTTCACTTCAATGCAGCTCTTGGCAGACTGAACCAGATAAACTACGCTTTTAAATCCATGAGCACATCCGTATCTACTTGTGACAAGAGCGGGCAGGACAGCCCGTGTCAGCTGGCTGCGGGCAGGCACGCGGCCCTGACTGTGGACCCTCCACTGGAGCGGCAAGGTGGGCCTGGCGCGTGACACCACCTTTCGCAGCTTCGTCGGGGCCTTCGGGAACCAGCGAGGCTGGGCACCTCGGCTGGAGGCTGTTCTAGTGCATCCTAGGAGTGCCTACTTGTTCCTGGCACCAAAATCTTCTGAAAAGCAGCCATCAACAACCACCTTCATCCTCCGGGTTCTTACCACAGGATCAACGCTGCAGCAAGCCTCACGGGGTCTGAACACTCCCCTCCCGTTCAGGTAACTTCAATTGAAAAAACACTAGAAAATGTCACCTTTGGGAACAAGACGACACAGGTTCCCGGGGCCTGTGTCCCAGCCCCCCAGAAGGCTGAGAGGCGGGGGACGCCTGGCCGTGGGGGCTTTGGGGTCTACAGTGGGTCTGCACTGGGCTAACTGGAGGCATTAGGTGGCAGCGGGCTACTATTTCCTCTAATTCTACTAATAAACCTGACAGGAAATCTTACGTATAAAATACAGCTAAAAAGTCAGAGTATGCCCTAGTATCTAGTACTTGCTCAAATAACTCAGGTCCACATTAGAATAAACCCACAACAGTGAAATCTCCTTCATGAGCAGAAATACTTAATAAGGCACTTTTTTAAACATTTGCCCAGAATAAATTTTACTAAAGGTTGCTTTATGGGGAACAAGTGTCTCACCTAAAGAAACCTACCCAGAACTCCTCAACCGGGTTCACTGGCGTTACGAACACATGTCAATTCCATGTGGGGCTTGGCGGTCCCTCATGCCACACTCCACAAGGGGGGACCTGCTCCTAGTCTGCGGAAGGACGGTGCAGCCCTGCTCAAAAAGCCTTCCAAAACAAGGAGTTAATCAAAGCAATGATAACCAGGTTCCAAAAGAATGGCACATGTCGCCGAGCCAGGGACACAAATAAGCCCCTTTGGGCTGCATTTAAAAAGAGGGGGAAAAAACCCCACACAGGGTCTGTTCAAGCTCCGGGCCATCCCTCCACCTCGCATGGTAGATATGTGGTGTCGCCCGCCTGGCAGGGGACTCCAGAAGGGCTGCGAGATGGCAGCACTACGGGCACCTTCTTTAGGCCCAGGGAGGCGGGGCGGGCCTGCCAGGACTGTTGCCTGATTTGGGAAGGGTGTAAAGGGGTGGGGAGTCCCGTCTGGAGCTGGGAACACACAGTCGGTGCTTTTGGAGTATTCACAAGAAGCAGAATCTGCCACACAATTGGCACCGCTCCCAACCACCCTCATGCCCTGCTTTCCAGGGTATGCAACTGTCAATCATAATCACCCACATTTTCATCTACGTTTTTCCAAGAGCCTTTTGAGGGCTTTCTGAGAAGACAGCGCAAGTTACGCTTGGCTGGGAAAACACTTGTCTAGCCTGCACTGAAGATAAGTGCAACCATTATCAAGTATTCTTTGCTGTGAAAAACTACTTAGAATTTGTGACGTTAATGTTCCTTCCTGAATCTAAGTCACTGTGATCGATCACACAGTACGATCACAAAGAACGATGTCTACATGCATTGTGAGCACTTTGAAAACAAAAGCAAACGAAAAATGTAGTTCTCTGTGGTGACAACAGAACGTGAAGCAGTCTAACAGCAAACCCCAGTCTGCCGTGTCCCCAAGTCCAGCTCTGCTGGAATCAACACTGGGCCGTGTGGCGCTCCAGACAACAGTTACGCAAGACTGCGGACGGAGAGGCCTACGCTTGCGGGGATTCTGTGCTGCAGCTCTCCCTCGAAGAAATCCCACAGCGCGTGCAGTGCCAGGTCAGCGTCTCCTGCCAGAAATCACTCAACAATCAGGGCCACATTTATGTGGGACAAATCTATCATGTGCCTGTGGAAATGCAAACAAACAGTCAACATCAACTCAACTCCACACATCAGCAGTCAACTTAGCAAGGTACAAGAAAACTAAAGGGGTGGGTCCGGATTAATGAAATTATATAAAAATGCAGACGGACAGAGATCCATACAGAAACAGGGGCTGACGACCCACATTACAGAAGGGTGCACCGTGTGCGCTCTTTTGTACAGCAGCAGGTAGGCACACGCACGTGGGCCAGACCACAGCTGCTTTGGCGGAGGGGCTCTCCCACCCACTCCCACAGCACCCTAACCATGGAATACATCGGCTACCTGTGGAATTTCTGTTGAAATGCTAACGCGTGAGCTGGTTCCTTGAACTTAGCTATGGCTTTCCGTTGCTGGGGAAGCATCTGTAAACTCTAGAGGAAGAAAACAGAGAAATGTTTTAACATCATGTTGTACGTGCTTAAAAAAACCCAAAACACCGAACGTATTTATACATTAGCTTTAACACAAAATTCAAGTCCAGGCTGACACTTGGATCACTGAGGAAAATTCTATCTCCCTAGCAATTTTTCTCATCCAGAGAATCTATCCCAAAATGGTCATTCCCATGAATGGCATGTATATCCTCCCAGCCTGGTGTTTGTCCGGCCATGTGAGCCACTCAATCTTCTCCCTCAACCTTCTTTGTGAGGCCCGGTGGCAAACACTCTTGGGGAGTCACCTCCTGTCCGCATGCCTTCCTGCCAGGCAATTCTCTGCAGGGCCCTCACTCAACTTTTTAAAAGAGCAATACTCATCGCACAGGAGGGAACTGCTGTTTAGTAACGGGACCCCACAATTACCACTGGGGTAAAATGAGGCTTTTCTACATCTAGCTAGGTCACAACAAGGCACAGCTTTGCCAGTGGCGGCTGTCAGCACCATCTGGTCACATTTTGTACTGAAAAGATGGTTACTAAGTGACACTGCAAATTAAATCTTCAGGAGCTCAAGCAGCCATTCCAGAGGCCACTACTCTCCACAGCAAAAACCAAGTTAGTTTGTGAAGAAGACAGGCAGAAAGAAATGATCCATCAAGTGAAGAGAATCTTACTCGTCTGAAAAGCAAGCACTGGACAGAGGTATCTCATGCCTGGTCCTCACACCTGCCCTGAGGAGGACGCATGGCTCTGAGTTTTCCCTGAGGCCTTGCGGTTTAGGAGCTGAGGATTCCGGAGGCGCAGGTCAAAGGTGGAGAGCTGTGTGATCTCTCAGCCATTCCCACTCTCGAGAGCCTGGTGTTTCCCAAGTATCCTGGAGACGGAGCCAGCTCAGCACATGTACCTAGGGCACCATGCAAGCTCTAGCCTCTGCCAAGGGCAGGGCACACGGCAGCTGAGGCAGGACCCTTGCTCACCCCAGGACACGCTGCCCCAGGGAGAGCACAGGACTCGATGCCTCAGTGTCTGGGCTTCTGTCTAGCGAAGGAGGGCAGCCAGAAAAAAAACCCTGATGGTAACACATGATCTTTAGAAGTGTTGACCTATGAGACTATTTAATTTTAAAGCATGTGTCAAAGATCTACAGTGGAAACACATGGCTAAAAATACCAAGTACTCTTCATTTCTGTAACCACAGAACGTCTATCAGTTAACACAACTAGGAGAGCTCTAAAAAAGTAGCCACCTTCCCCAAACTCACCTTTTGGTGTTTCACAGAGAAATAAACCGTTTCAAGTCTGCCAACTACACGGCGCTAAGCTGTGCACACAGACCCCTGGAGGACGAGCAGTCAGCCCAGGGGCTGGGGACACCTCCCCAACCTGATCATGGACCAGGAGCGTGGACATGCAGGCGGAGGGGGGGGGGGGGGGGGGGGGGGGGCGGGCGTGGGCAGCTCTGAGCTGGGTCTACCTGCCCACTGTGCTGAAGCAAGCTTAGCAGAACACTAGATTCCTCCTCTTCTTTGGAATATAAAAACCGGAAGAATTTTCTTGACGATTTCACTTATTAACAGCACACCTAAAGCGCCATAAGGTGGTCTTTAATGATGTCATCGACCCCTCCTCCTGGGCTACACCCTCAGCAACACAGCTTCCCTGGCTTCGGACGCACGCCTCAAGTACTGGACAGAGGCCCGCTTTCTCTTCCAAGCCGCCTGCCGCACCTTGCTGCTCATGCCCAGTCTGTGGCTCAGCCCTGAATGAGTTCCGGTTGTTGCAGCTGCGGAGCTCAGTCATCAGGCGGGGCAGGGGGACTATGGGTGAAGAACTGTGCCTCGGGTCACGGCAGAGCCAGCTGCAAATCCCACCTTGTCCCGGAGCACCCGCACAGGGCCCGCGGCTAGGCCCTTCTTTCTGGTCCTGTGTGCCTTTGGCCTGCTCTCCTTCTCCTCTGGCCACAGTGCTGCAGGCGTCGAGGGCCAAGGGCAGCGCCCCCACGGTGACTGCCACCAGTGCTGGGACAGACCTCATGCACGCATCAGAAGACTTACCTAAACTCACCTCTAAACCTTGAAGAACTGTATTAGGAACAGACAGGAAAAACTAATTTCTTACTGGCATGCAGGGGGAAAGCTAACACACCAACTTTCATCCTGATTTCTCATTTTCAGAGATGAGACCACTTCGCTTCCTGAGAATAACTGTGCTTCTCTAAGGAGCAAAATGCACGATGAAACTTCGGTTGGCGGCTGCAGCTGCCTGCCAGCCCCACGGGGCCGGCCCGCTCCACCTGACATGCAACAAGGTGAGCAGTGACAGGCTCTCCAGCCTGCGGCCGGATTCCAGAAGATGTCCATGTCGCTCAGAACCCCGGCCTCTTTCCCCAATTAGGAAAGTTCCTTGTCTTTCTAGGAAGTGCCTGTGTGTGTGTGCATACGCTCAGATAAATGTCATGGAAACACTAACAGGGTTCTGCGGCCCTGAAAATCTGTTTAGACTCCTTCCCCTCCGGGGATGCCTGGCTGACTCAGTCAGTTACACGTCTGCCTTTAGCTCAGGTACAATCTTGGGGTCCTGGGATCAAGCTCCCCCCCAACTCCTGCTCTCTCTCTCAAATAAATAAAATCTTAGAAAAATAAATAAAGCTTCTTCCCCTAGCACCTTCAGTGATTACTTTAAGCCAAGAATTGGATCAGTTGCTTTAAACACAAATGAAATTGCTTGAGAGCACCCCCACTGCAGCCCTGACCCAGACGCCCACGGGTGGGCCCCCCTCTGAGGCCAGCCAAGAGCCACGGAGAGCACAGAAGCACCCCCTTGTGGCCAGTGCCGCCGACCCGTTCTCCTCCCTGCCCAGCAGGCCCGTGTGTCCCCATGCGGCAGCACACAGCACCGACAGCAGCAAGTGTGCCCTGCACGGCGGGCAGCCCACAGGCTCCCACGCTCACACAATCAGCCCCGGCTCCCACGCCTCCCGACGCACACCTGCCGCTGCAACAGGCACGGTCCAACTCCTTCTGCTCCGGTGCGCAGCCGGCGTCGTTCCACAGGTCCCGGGGCTTCGGCTCGCCCACCCGTGGCTCTGCCCCCTGCCTCTCCCCTCGCTGCTCCAGCCTCCTTCCGCTGCACACACCTACCCTTCAGAACCCGTGCGAGCTCTCCCAAGAGCTCTCGTGCTGTCACACCGGCTCCTGAAAATCCATTCTTCTTCTGGGCTCCTGACAGTGTTTTCAGGACTTTTTTTCTTTTCCCCAGTGCAGCTTCAGATCCTGTGTCCACACCTCTATTTTCTTTACACCTTGTGGCGTGGGTCTGTCGTCCGTCTACGCTGACGATACCTAGTGCTTTCTTTCCCAGATGTCCTCAACTACAAGCGACTGCACTGCTTTCACTCGACATTCAAACCTTTTCCACTTCACCGACCAGACCTCCTTGGTGGGTCAGAACGAGATGCATCTTCAGAGCAGGTCAGACTCCCCCGACGTGAGCCTACCTTGAAGAAGTGCCCAGAGGGGCCCCACCTCGCTGGGCGGGCTGAGATGCGCTCCAGAATGAGACAGACGGGAACCATGGCGTCAGGAGGCAGCGGGCAGACTCAGTGGGTCCCAGAGGGCTGTTCAGGAGCATGCACTGTCTGGGCCAGCAGCCCTGCCCTCCGAGAGCACACACGGATGCTGGGCGCGCCTGCACCTGCAGCTCGTCTTGTCCTGTCTCCTCGCTGCCCCTCAAGGGCGACGTGGAGGCCGCCGTCTCTTCCATCCCCCGAGGTTTGCAGGGCGTGACAGGGAGCTACGAAGGAGCGGGTAAGTTCTCGTGTCGGTGACAAGAGTCCGGCAGGGGGAGAAGCGCTCTGTCCGAGAATTATACACCAAGAACTGGCAAAATTGGGACTTGCCCCGAAGCCTCGTCTCAGAGCTGGACGCCGGCTGCGTCAACAACAAGCTGCCCGGGGCCCCCTCTACTCTCATCCCAGCTCAGGAACGACTCACAGGACTGCCGGGAGAAGTGGGTAGCAGAGAGAACATGCAGCTGCCCTGCTATGTGGGGCGGTGATCACAACAGGGAACCAGCCGCAGAGTCCCGTTAAGTGATTTCAAACATTCTGCTTTTGTGAGGAAACTTTTTTATTTTTACACCATGATGTTTCATTGATTTATAGGGTAACAAATTTTTCTTCTTGGCACCATTTTAGGCATAACCTAGCAAAAGGGGAAATAAAGACAAGCAACAAAGCCACAAGTGTTGTAACTAGCTTACTTCCTGACCCGAAGAGCTCCGTTGGCTTCCGTGTTTCGGGACGGAGCAGCAGGTCAGGGTCACCCCTGCGGGAAGCCGGGCAGGTCACCAGGGAGCAGCTGCCTCCCGCTGGGTCTGGGGACAGAGCCACAGCCTTCTCACAGACTCAAGACTCGCACCATGGCTGCTACTGAGCGCCGCGCGGCCCTCTCCCCTGCAACTCTTCACGCCGTGGCTACCTTCTGCTTGTAACATGTCTACAAAATCTTTCTGTCTTTCCTTACTCTGTGAAGAGTGAGTCCATACAGGATTTTAACATGGACTTTCTAGAGAGGTCTCTGAGTACCGTCTAAGGGGACAGCGCACTAATTTGAGAGAAACGTGACCAGCTTGTTACAGTCCACTGTCACCCTGAGAAAGCCTCTCAGATTTCACAGTTCAAGAAGCAGAGCTCACATGCCCTTGCTGTAATTTTACAAAGGCCCAAAGCAACAGGGGACCTTCCTGCTCTAGACACCAAGTGGCCGCGAGGTGGCACCAGAGTCCAGCACACACACGCTCCACACACACATTCCTCCCGTCAGGACCGCCGAAGGTCTGGGTTACCAAGCGCCATCCCTTCTCCAAGTCTATTTATACTTAAACTGTAAGTGAGTCTTGTTAAAATGTGTACTTAATCAATATCATTCTCTAGCTATCTAACACCGGCAGGGACGTGTTACGTTGTTTTATTTATTTATTTTTTAATTAAGAAACTTGACATTCTGTGAATGCAGTGTTTAAAAATTTATAAACTCCCCCTCAAAACAATCCTATGGGACTAAGACTGGCAAGATGTGAGCACTCTGCTTTGTTCCCCCCCCGGGTGGAAAAACAGGCCCTTATCTAAGTGCTAAATTCATCATTCCACCATTCCACAGAAACGCACAGGGGTTTCTCCAAGGGCAGATGGAAGCTCACCTTCCACCCCATCTTAAGGGTAACTGATGGAACCTAGAAAATTCATTCTCCTCCTCCTATAAGGCATTAAATAATCCAACAGTTTTTGTTTGGCTTTAGGTTCCCTCAAACTTTATTTATAACGTACTGATCTCTAATGCTTTTCAGAACAGAAAAAGAGAGGCCCCAAATGCAAAATTCAAGTTTTAAGATGGGTAAGACCAAGGTTAGGTGGCTTAGCAATGGCTCCAAGCAGCCAATGACCCTGCACCACTATTCAGATATGGACTCTGAAAACCCCATCCCGGTTGAGAACGCTCAGGAGAATTACCAAGACTATGTGTGAGGAAGCAAAGCCATGACCACTAGCAGATCACGTGTGGAGAGCGGCCATGCTGTCACCCCCCCCCCCCCCCCGGCACACATGGCAACAGAGACACGGGGCCAAGAGACTGCCCGCGAGCCCTCACAGAGAACACCAGTCCTCAGAACTCCCGGAGCAGGCTCTGGTCTGCTAGTCCGAACTCACTGTGACTGAAGCCCAGATTCTCCACCCCCACGTGTGGCAGTCTCAGGCCAGGATGAGCACGTGTTAACGCACCTACAATACTCCAGTGTTGCTCTGCTCCTGCAAGTCCGTCCCCATAGCGGTGACCTGTGTGAAGGGGCTGCCGGCCCCGCGTAACCGACACCAGTCCCTGCCGCACCACTGCGCGATCGACTACACTGAACACAGAAGCTCAAGTGTTAACCTTCTGTTATGACACACAAATAGAAACTAACCCTCACCATCTCCCTAGGAATCCAGAAATGAAGAACACAGTGGGTGTGGGAAAGGCTTTCATCCACTCCTCACATTTAGAGACTCTCAACAGTAGACCGATTTCAAACATGTTAAAAATTATTTGTCTCAACTCTAGTCTGAAGATGTTTCCCCATTCACTCATGCAGCAAGAGGCTAGAAAATTCCCTGAAAGGAAAGCACACAGAAATCTGATATTCACACTCCATGTCTCGCCCAGGTGGGATCTGACCCAGAGAGATGCGAGGCTCAAGGAAAACCAGGTCAACCCACTTCTCTGCCAGTTGACCTACAGGACTCAAGACGACGCAGAGGTCAGGGGTTTGAGTGGAGAATTCTGTTTACTGCAGAACCGGAGACACATCTGCCGCCATCTCAGCAGAGACTTTGGAGCATTCAGAAATAACCCGTTGTAAAACAGAGATCAAACTATAGTCTACATTATTTCATGTTTGTAAAATCTAAACCAAGTTTCATAGCTGTTAACATGTGAGCTATTTCTGGAAATCATGGTTAAGAAGGCTAAATGCTTTAAAAGTTTTAAGTTATTACAAACAAAAGTGTGTGATAGAACAGAAAAGTAAGTATGTATGGATGGCCTATGTAAACTTGAGAATAATACGAGGATTTGGCAAAATCATTTCATAAGTCTCGTAACTGAGCACCTGAAAATTTCCAAATAATCTAACTCTAAGGCAAAGTTCTGATAGAAGGCATGCACAGGAAATAAAATATGTCTTTCTTCTCGAATGTACTATTTTAACATGAAGTAACCAACACAGAGGGAATTTAAATCGAGACCTGAGTCTTGGGGAAGGGCCTCAGGTGACGCACCTGAATGGGGCCTACTGACATCAGTAGGTTCTTCAGCTGGACATCAGTAGTGGACGAAGAAAGCCCTTCAACAGACACGACACAGGGCTGAGGCTTACACTCCACCACTCGGAGGTTCTGCTTGTTCGGCATCAGGCGTCCCCGGCCCATCGCTCCTGCCACGCCTCGGCCTCTCCCGTGCATGAGGACCTGGCAAAAGCAAAGTATGATTTGACTTTTAAGCTTTGGATTTTCTTCCCACAGCTGCTAAGATTATACAAGTGGGCAAACAACTCAGAATCCGTTACAACATACCACGAGCTACAGGATCATCTGTACTTTTCACCCACTACCAGAGCAGGGTTTAATGTCGAAGTGAAACCATCCCCAGCAAGTCTGGGTGGAGGCAAAGGAGGGAAAGAGAAGAGCTAAGTGTGACTCTATGTCCGGACCAAGTGCAATATGGGTAGGCACTTTCAGTGTAACCACTGTTGGCAGATGAAGCAGCAGGATCAGAGGGGCTAAGAAACTTGTTTGGGTCTGGTCCTAACAGCCCCAGAGGCCAAAGTTCTCCTGGCGTACTCCAGGTCACACCCATGGGGACTGGTGCCACCACACACCCACCACAAGCCACAATGTTATGGACCCAAGTCTCCTCTTGACTCCGTGCGGCCGGCACCCTGAGAATCTGAAAGGCAGGTTCTGTAGCTGGGGTCACTTCCCAGCTGCTGCACGTCACCATCCCGCACATCACAGAGCTTTAACAACACCAACAAAATCCAAGCCACAACAATACCCGTGTCCCCCTGCCCACCACACAGTGATGATGTCTCTGTTCTAAAGCAGGGCCCAGACCTCAGGAGATTTTTAAGTTGTCCAGGGGTACAAAACCACTGTTCGAGGGTCTTTTAAAGACGAGGAGACAGCTGAAACTTCCTGGTATTTTCTAATTAGAAAATCAGATAAAGCACCAAGTGCCAAGTGCTTTCTCTAAAACAAAACTCCTCCTCTGTGGGGCAGTGGTAAAATGCAGGAGGCAGGAGGAACTGAACAGCACCAGGGCTTCCAGACATCCTAACCCAAATTCTGCCCTATAATCTGGGTACAAAGGGACAAAAAATGACCCCCTGTTCATCACAGAAAAGTGCAGAGAGGAAGGTAAATGGAAATCAGAATGGAACCTTTGCACATGAACGGGCACCGAACAAAGGGAAATGCATACAAAACGACATTTCTTAATATTCCCCAGAAGGCAGCAAAACTCCACCCGGGAAGTGAGTTTTTGAAAAGTGCAAAAGGATATTTCAAGAGAAGTCACATTGGAAAACACATCAAAAGGTGCCCGTAAATCACATCAATAAGGACAAAAACCGTATGATCATTTCAACAGATGCCCAAAAAGCATCTGACAAAGTATAACGTCCATTCATGGTAAAAACCAACAAAACAGGTCTAGAGGGAACATACCTCAACATGATAAAAGTTATATATGAAAAACCCACAGCCAACATCATACTCAATGGGAAAAACTGAGAGCTTTTCCCCAAATACCAGGAACAAGAAAGGGATGTCCACTCTCACCACTTTTATTCAACACAGGACTGGAAGTCCTAGCTACAGCAATCAGAAAAGAAAAAGAAATAAAAGGCATCTAAATTGGTAAGGAAGAAATAAAACCCTAACTATTTGCAGATCGCATGATACCACATACAGAAAACCCTAAGACTCCACCAAAAAACCACTAGAACTATCAATGAATTCAGTAAAGTCACAGGATAAAAAAAAAAAAAAAAATCAATGTACAGAAATCTGTTTATGAAATAATATAAAGAGAAATTAAGAAAACAATCCCATTTACAGTCACACCAAAAATAAGATACCGAGGAATAAACCTAACCAAAAGACCTGTACTCTGAAAACTATACCAGCACTGGTGAAAGAAACTGAAGATGACACAAAGAAATGGAGAGACATTCCATGCTCGTGGCTTGAAGAACAAATTACGTTAAAATGTCTATAATACCCCAAAGCAATCTACACATTTAATGCAATCCCTATCAAAATACCAACAGCATTTTTCACAGAACTAGAACAATCCTGAACTTTGTACAGAACTACGAAAGATCCCAAATAGCCAAAGCAATCTTGAAAGGGGAAAGCAAAGCTGGAGGCATCACAATTCCAGACTTCAAATTATATTACAGAGCTGAAGTGATCAAGACAGTATGGTACTGGCACAAAAACAAGACACCTAGATTAAGGGAACTGAATAGAAAAACAGAAATAAACCCACAACTCTATGGTCAATTAATCTTTGACAAAGGAGGCAAGAATATGCAATGGAAAAGACAGTCTCTTCAACAAGTGGTCTTGGGAAAACTGAACAGCCACATGCAGAAGAATGAAACCGAACCACTTCTTACACCATACACAAAAATAAACTCGAAATGGATTAAGGACCTAAATCCATAAAAATCCTAGAAGATCACAGGCAGTAATTTCTCTGATATTGGTCACAGTGACATTTTCCTAAATATGTCTCCTAAAGCAAGAGAAGCAAAAGCAAAGATAAACTACTGGGATCAAAATAAAAAGCTTCTACACAGCGAAGGAAACAATCAACAAAACTAAAAGGCAACCTACGGAATGGGAGAAGATATTTGCAAATGACATAGCTGATAAAGGCCTAGTATCCAAAATACATAAAGAACTGATATAACTCAACACCCCAGAACCAAACAATCCAATTAAAAAATGGGCAGAAGACATATGAAAAGACGCTCAACATCATGCATCACCATGAAAATGCTAATCAAAACAACAGTGAGATCATCACCTCACACCTCTCAGAATGGCTAAAATCAAAAACACAACAGCTGAACTATGGAAGCAGCCCAAGTGTCCATCTAAAGATGGAGAAAAAAACATGTGCTGTATGTCTATATATATCTCACACACACACACACACACACACACACACACACACACACACACGGAATATTACTCAGCCATCAAAGAGGATGAAATCTTGCCATTTGCAATGATGTGGATGAAGCTAGAGAGTATTATTCGAAGCGAAATAAGCCAAAGAAAGACAAACACCATATGATTTCATTCTTACGTGGAATTTAAGAAAACAAATGTACAAAGAAAAAAGAGGCAAAACCAGAAACAGACTCTTAACTAGATCTGGAGAACACGCTTGTCACCGGGGGAGTGGGTGGGCGGACGGCTGGGACAGGTGACGGGCGCAGAGCACACTTAGCACAGCGGCACCAGGTAATCCACGGAATCCTGCACAAGCGCTACACTGTACACCTGAAACTAATGTAACACCGATGTTAACTATAATGGAATTAGGGAAAAAGAAGTTGCAAGTAAAACTGGCTGGAAACCAGCAGTAAATATTCTTATGTTCTAGCTACAATGTCAGAATATTAATAACAATATTATTTATTATGTATTATTATGTATTATTATTAAAGGTGTATTCCTTATACACCAGGGACCATGCTTTTTATATGCATCTTCTAATGAAATCCTCCCAAGAGCCCACATGAGCTACGAAACACTGCTGTCCTCACTTCACAGGAGAGGAGACGAAGGTTTCAGATGCGCACAGCTGTACGGGGAAGGGGGCCTTTAATGTCTCTCTCCTCATGTATCGGGGGACGGTCCCTGACTGAAGCCGGTTTAGTCCGGAGCAACCTTCAAAGACTGAAGTTAAGATTTAATGTCTGTCTTCTGTTGCAAAAGGGGAATAATTTTGTTTGCTCCTACATCATCAAGTGCTTATAATATAGACAAAATCATTTAAATACTTCAAAGACTCAGAATGGCCTTCATATTAATACTATCACTACTTAGTAACAGTAGAAGGACAAGCTGACAGGAAGAGCTAGTAGACTGCAGAGCTTTCCAGAAGAAACTCAAAAGCCGGTGCTGCCGCCCGGCTTCCTCCCTTGCATAATTCCATCAGACAAGGGGCATCTGACTTATACACCAAAAGGCGACTTTACTGTCGGGCACAGAGGTGAAGGCTTTGGGGAAGGAACAGAGACAGCTCCCCTACCAGCTGAGGGGAAGGGCGCCCTACCACAGGGACATAATGGGAGAAAGTCGGCCCACACTCCTCTCCTAGGGAAGGTTTTAAATTCAGTGCGCAAAAGGAGAACATGCACCTCCACGGAAGGTGTTCTGGATGGCCTTGTCTCTCATCAGAGAGTCGGAGTCAGAACGCTTTCAATCCCCTGGGCGAAGGAAGGAGGAAAGAACCAGAGTCAGGGCCACTTTCTTCAGACAGGTCCTTCACCCCCAAAGGCCTCGCTTTCCCACTTGTGAACTGGGGTAACAGCAAGGAAGTGGCTGAGCAAATGTCTCCGACGGGGATCTAGGAGCACAGGGTCGTCTCCAGGGCACATGTCAGAGCTGCAGAAAACAGCCACACCCCCGGCTGTGCGGTCTTTCCCCGACTTCTCCCATTACAAAGTCACGAGAGGAAAGTCCTTTTGTGAACACAGGAGCTTTCGAAGCCAGAACAGAGGGGATTACTGTTCATTTATAAATTGACTTGAGCCCTCCTACTGTGCGCTATAGGCACGCCTATCTGAGAACTGTCCAAATGCCGAGCCCTGTAACGAGGAGAGCATCTAACTCTACTTCGCGGCGCTTGGCCTAGGTAACAGGCAGTACCTTCTTGGCCAGATGGACTCCCTGGATGCTCTTGATGCCCGGAGGGCCGGCCGAGTGCACGTGGGACGCCACCGGTGGGTGGTGGGGCTGCTGAAGGGCCCCCTTGGTCAGCGTCACCTTGCGGGCGGGCTGCTGCCTCACTTCTGGGGGCTGTGGGAGCCGCTGGGGCTGGCCCTCAGGGTGAAAAAAGCCGTCACTCTCTCCTCCCTGCTGAAACAAGGCAGCGTGCTGGTCAGTACCTGCTTGGCCGGGCGGCCTTCCCCAGCATCAGGGAGTCCGCCTCGGTTGGTGCTCAAACGACAGCAAAACTATCTCAAACAAGTGAAAAACCAAACCTGTCATTTCACTAGAGCCACTAAGGAAATTTCTTATCTGACACTGTTTGGGTTTTCATCATATTTTTGAAATTTAAAGCATGAAGATCTTTAATTACTGTATCCACTCAAGAGGTCTGTGATTAAAGTAAGTGGCTGTTTAGCCCAGTGAAAAACTGCTTAACTTTAAAAATACTTCATACTTAACATGCATTTGCCACTTTCAAGAGCGTTCTTGTTAAAATCTGACAGTTTGCACAGGCAGGGGTTTTAAACTTTTAACCTGTCTTCAGACCCAACGCGAAGTGGACTGTCCTCAGGATGCATCTCACTGGCTGTGGCCGGAGGCCCTGGGGACATAGCACTGACCCCTGGTCCCCTCCCGCACCCCCCCACCCCACCTCCCGCTGAGACACAAGTGCCTCACCCTCTCAAGTCAGTGATTTCAGGATGGACTCGTGGGCCCTATTATAATAAGCTCTGCAAGGATCAGAAATCTAACCTTTAGAGTTTTACTAACAATTCCTTGTTTCTTGACCTTAAAAATTGTTGAATTTTTTTAAAAAGAAAATCACAGGCCCAAAATGGTGTCACTTAGAGCTCCCAAACTGGGGCTCGCGGAATAATCAACCTCCCCCAGAAACGTGGTCTTCACTGGTCAGTCAGGAAGTTTTCAATCAACATGAAGAGCAGGGCCCTGTCTCATCTGCATAAGACCATCACTTTCCCCCTAAGGGAGAGCCACCTGCCTGAAACCAGCCTTTTCTTTTGCCAATAACTTTCTTGCCCTCTCCTCCTTCTATAAAAATCTCCCATTCTGTACACCTCCTGGGAGCCTCCTCTGCTTGCTGGATGGGATGCTGCCCAATTCACAAATCGTTTAATAAAGCCAATTAGATCTTTAAAATGTTCTCAGTCAAATTTTTGCTACTGAACATAGTCAAGCTGTACTATTTATGTTTACACCACCAGGCAGCAAAAAAAATCTCTCTGGATGGCGCCTGTTCAGTGTAAGTGCAGGATCTCTCCAAGAGAGTAGCGGGTGACCAAGAAAGGAAGTGTGGGCAGCAAGAAAATCCTATCTTGCCCTGCTAAATTACATAATCTGAGCAGAAATGGATGCCTGCAAGTGGACAGTAAGATTCTGATCTGGACAGCACGAGGCTCCGTTCCTCACACCCACAGGAGCTCCGGTGAGCGGTCAGTGAGCCCTGCCTTGCGGCCTGCTGAGCTGCACCAGTGTTTCCATAAAGGAGCTGGCTGAATTAGCTCAGCAGCAGCCTGTGGGTTCTGTGCCTCGCTTTCTGCTCCCCTCTATACTTATCTTTTAGAGACAGTTTAATGAAATAAAGTGAAGGGACAGGGGCTGGGGCAAGATAGGTGTAGATAAGATTTGTGTAAAAACTGCCCAAAGTAATTGGGACCCAAGAGAAATGGGATTAAAACTGTCACCTGTGGCAGGGCTTCTGGCTACGGCAACATGAAGGGGAGGGCAAATTTCCCCCCCCCCCCCCCCCCCCAAAAAATAACTGACAAAACCATCCAGAACAAGCATTTCAGGTCTCTGGGAGTCAAGGACCAGCACCTACTCCTGAGACCTGGCGTGCAGGGCCGAGGGCGGCAGGCGAAGCAAACTTGGGGGGAAGGGAATGGGGAACGCCCACCAACCTGTCCGCCCGAGGCCTTTCTGGAACAATAGCAGACCAGCCAGTAATCGGAAAAACACAATGGGAAATCCTGGAAATCAAAGACCTCCAGAAGGCCTAGGTAAGTGCCAGAGAGCCAGGGAAGCTCACCCAGGTAGGGAGCGGGTAGGGAGGACAATGAGCGGCGGTGGGCTCTGAGGGCCAGTGCCCACCCCCCACAAACCACCGGCCAATCTCTTCCTGAATGACTGTCTGGCCAACCAACAAGCTATGTAGCAACAGGGTCTAACCCTAGGAAGCCAGGCTAAGAAATGAAATAAGAATAAAAAAACTCATCAAAAAATATTCTGAACTGAATAAAAATACAACAAATCAAAATCTAGGGGATGCAACTAAAGAGTTATGTCAGAAAGGAAAAAAAATCTGAAATCAATAACGTGAGCTTTTATCTCAAGAAGCGAGGGGGAAAAAAAGGAAATCAAACCCAAAATACGAGGAAGGAAACAATAAGATCACAGCAAAAAGCAGTGACACAGGAAACAGAAAAACAATAGAGAAAAATCAATGAAACCAAAAGTTGCATTTTTGAAATCAACAAAACTGATGACCTCTAAACTGATCAAGAAAAAGGGAGAGAGAGGGCACAAATGACCAAAATCAGAAACGAGAGCAGAGGTCACCACGACAGGCCCCACCAAAATGAAAAAGGCCATCATGAACAACTTTATACCAACAAGGCAGGCCGCGGAGGTGAAATGGACAGACCGCAGAAGAAATGCAAAACACCAAGACGGATTCAAGAATGAAGAGAAAACCTTTGAAAATCTGAGAAGACACTGAATTGGTAATGAAAAACCTCCTGCAAAGAAAAACCACTGTTTCAGGAAGAAGAGAGGAGAAGGAAGAACCTTACCACTCATCCTCTGAGACCGGCACGACCCGGAGAGAAACGCTGAAGACCTCACAGGAGAGGAAAGCCGCCAAAGCACACCCTCACAAACGTACGTGAAGCAAGGTCCCTACCAAAATATCAGCAACCTGAAGCATCCACACAGAAAAGGCACCGCGCCTCATGCCCTAGCAACACTGACCCCAGGAAGGCAAGGCTGGCTGGACACTGCAAAACCAGTGAACGTTACCGAGCCACATGATCGCCTGCACTGGTGTAGGAAAAGCATGCTTGATTAAACCTCTCCACAAACAAGGGACAGAAGGAACCTCTGTCAACCCAGAAAGGGCATCTACTACAAATGGGCAGGTCACATCATGCTTGGTGAAGATGACTGAGTGCTTTCTCCTAAGGACCACTTGTATTCTCATTGCCCCGACTGGTCAGGGACACTCGGTTTACCTATCAGTCACCTGGGGAGAGTTCTAATCTGAGCCATCCTGGGCTTTAACCCAGAATCCATCCAATTAGACCCTGTGGAGCTGGGACCCAGAAAGGAACGTATTTTAAAGGCTCTGTGGGTGATGGCTGTCCAGCTGATGGCTGAACCAGACGGGGGCCCCCTGTGCTCCGATTCTGCGCCTCCATCAAGTGCATTACCACCGCCAGCTGACAGTCACTCCGACCTCACAGAGGAAGATCCCCAAATGACAATGGAAGCACTGTGGGAAGATCACCATTAAGAAACGTTTAAGCTGCTAGTCTGTGTTTCTAAAAGCTGCCCCACAGCTCTTCCACCCAAGGTGTGAGCTGGTGCCCCGGCCAGGCAGGGGCCGCCTAGTCTAGCTGCATAATGTTTCAAAGTCTTTACCTTAAAAAGCTATGTGACCTCTATTTTTGGATATGCTTGAATTCTTTTCTTTGGGGAGGGTGTAGGGAGGGACAGAGGGAGAGGGAGGGGGAGGGAGAGGAAGAGGGAGAGGGAGGGAGAGGAAGAGGGAGGGAGAAAGAGGAAGAGAGAGAGAATCTCAAGCAGACTCCACAACCAGTGCAGAGCCCGACACAGGGCTTGAGCCCATGACCCTGAGAACATGACCTGAGTGCAAATCAGGAATCAGACCCTTAGCCGACTGAGCCACCCGGGCGCCCCTTGCATTTTTCTAGGCCATAAAGTTGAAACATTTAAGGACATATACCACATATCCTCATCTTTCTCAAGAGCCAGTGATCCATCATTTATTAATTCATCTAAAATCCTGAAATTCTCTTAGTACAGGATTCACAGATTTCCTATGCACGTTGAGTCAGGCAGTCCTTAATAACACTCCTCTTTTTCCCATGAGCTGACACCTCACACTAAGCCCCAGGCCCCACAAGAGGCTGGGTGTTAGGCGCAGGCAGGGCCAGCTCAGCAAACTCTGCACACAGCTCAGCTATACAAGAGTCTACTGACTGACTCTCCAACTTCCACCCAATTCACCCATGTGAATAAATGAACTGGCTAGGTACTGGTTAGCTCTATGGGAAAGCCTTCCATTGTAGGGACTTCAGGGGTCTAAATAAACTCCCTGGGAGCCTACCCGACAAGGTAAAAGTTCGAGGATCCCTAGAGCATACACTATCCTGCAAGCATCTACAAAAACCAGAGGCTGAGACCCTATCATCCTGTTTTGCTCACCAAACCAAAATTTCTTGTATACATCAAAGGTACTGAGGTTATCTACTGAATGAATCAATAAACAGTGCATCATACTTTTGAAAATTCTCAATGTGCTAGAAAAAAGATGACAGTACCAGGAACTCTAGGTTACAGCCACACCAATTAGTACACCAGTATGTACTCAATGTAACTATGACAGTAAACAGGCCAGCTTCCAAAGCCGCCGCACTGTCTCGTGCGTCAGGAACCATTTATGCCACGCTGCAGAACAGATAATGAGCCGGTATGCACGGCCTAAGAGGGATGATGTCCATATGGATCATAGACAAAAAGAACGAATACTGTCATCATGTTTTTCTTTAGTAAGCCAAAGCTAAAAACATGATCTAGATAGTGAACTTTAATTTAAAAAGAAGAGCTTGCACCGAAAGTTAAGATACTGTAACTTGACTATTTGGAGGGAGACAGTGTGTACACCTATCTGGATGACAAATATCCAACACTGGAGATCTGATGCCTTTTAAACTGTGGACTGAATTGATAATACAAACATTTAGCCAAGAAACACTCCAAATAATAAAAATTCTCTTCACTGTCATATTGGGCAAGAGACTGGTGGTAATTTACTGTAAGAGGAGATGCTAATGTCAGATAAAAACCCTGAAAAACAAGGTTCTGAACTTTCATTTTCCTTTCAAGAA